CATGGGGGTCTCTGAGTAGTCATAGTAAAAGAGCAGGGAGTCCAGAATGATCTGGAACGAGTCCACACTGAACTCAAACTGCCGTCGTATGCAGTCTACAAACTTGAGCTCCACATTTTTGCCATGCTTGTTGGAAAGCGATATCAAGCTCCAACGGTCAGTCTCCGTGTAGACTTTGACCAGCTTCTGGATGTAGGCTTCCTTCAGTGTTACAGGACTGATTTTCAGCTTGCTTACTCCTTCCGGCAGGAAGTTCAAGAGGGATCGCAGGACCACATCTCGAACTAACTGAAACTCTGCCTCACTTGGAAGAGAAACTTGAAAAATGAGATCCAGGTCTTTGCATCCCAACCCATTATCCTTGACCAGGACATGACCAGCTGCAGAACCGTTCAGACGGACATCGTGGACCACAATGCCTGCTTCGCTCAGCCGGCTCCGCACCGTCTGAACAATATCCTTCAGAGTTATCTTCAGGGTCGGGAAGTTCCCCCGGCCATGGATCGGAACCACCTCTGTAAGAACCTCGTGCAGACGGCTGACCTGCTCCCAGTTCAGTACACTGCAGGACATGGAGTTTGCTCTGCTACTTCCTTTGCCTGCCATCTTAGGGCTTTTCTTCTCCAAAGAAACTGTACAGAACAAGAATATAAAAAAGAAAAAGACAAGTCAGCACTTCTGTTTGTGCTTCCTAGATCTGTTCCTAGGCTCTGTCTTTCTGTCCATTCACACAGACACAAACTAGAAAGGTATTACTCTTTGTATTAATCATTATCAGCAATCCTTTCACCTGAAATGAGACACAGCTTCTCTACTGGTGTGGGAAAAAAAAAATTAGCTGTTGTTCTGTTTTTTTGGTGAGGTAGAGTTGCTTCGGGAAAGTACTTTGTGTCAAATGAAAATTACCAAAGATGACACAATCTTTACCTAAGGCTAAGGTCATCAGTAGCACCAGCTGAAGGGAGATGAGCCACAAAACACTTCTGAAAGTTAGACTTTGAAGTTGTTTCATGATGCACATAAAGCTCAAACTGCTGTCTCCAGCTAACACAACCATAGAAGGCTCTCAGGTGTTAGTTTCAGAGCTTAGACATCCAGTCTATTGATAACGCTTTCC